TGTAGGGAAGTGTTTGGAAATTGATAGAAATCCTGTTCAAAAAAACAGAGTCAGTTGGGTTGATGCAGTATTTATTCAGGTGCTGAAGAGCTTACCCTTCGTTCCCCTCTACTTATCCACATGGGAGGGAGCTCCACTTGGTACATTGCCTTTGAAACCACAACTCTAAAACTCCATCTGCAGGGAGGCTTTAGTGCCTCCCTTTGACTTTGATAGGAGCTTGGTGTCTGAGTTACATCAGGGACCAGAGCCCCTTCACATCACATTGTCTGTGAGAGAGAACCTTACTGTCAACTGAAGACAGAATATTAAGGGAGTAGTTTTTCACATTGGCAAACACTTTACTTTTTGAGGTAAATACTGATTTTATAATACTGCCACTTGTCCTTCCTCTCATTCTTGCTCTGAGCCACTGCGAATCCATCCCGTCACATCTGCCAGTGCAGCTGTTTGCATGGCTTCTCTCTGGGTGGGAGTGGAAGCTGCTCCTGGGCTCAGGAGCAGACAGAGGTGATGGCTTGGTTGTTTCCAAGGTATTTTTAAGCTGGGTGAGTTCCTTCACCAGTCTTGGGGCACCCACATCTGCATTTGTGCTGACAGAGCTGAGGGAATAGTGTGTACTGGGTTTGCCACCAAGAATTAATCTTGTGAAACCACAGCCTGTGCCAGGAGGGGAAGGACTGCCAATGCAGAACTAGCACCTGGCATAACAAGGCATCCACAAGGAACCTTCACATGGACAGAAACTAGACTCATAGATAACACAACAAAAATGTACCAACAAGGGACATGCTTCCAATGAGCACTTTTTTCTTTTTTTTTTCCTTTTTCTTGAATTAATGCACAGAAAGGGCTAAATAAGTGGGAACCTCACAGTACTGTCCAACAGAGGCATGAGGAACTCCTGCTGTTTGGATGTTCCTTGTCTCTCTGGTCCTTGGGAATAGCTGGTGCTTGCCAGGAGAATGAGGAACTTGTTATGAAAGGAGAAGGACTCAGGAGGGTGGCAGTGGCTGTGGGCTGCTGCAGTTCTGCTCTCATGAAAAGTGTATTGCCTGCTTTATTTTCTCACCTCTTTCTGACGTTACAAAAGTGTGTTACAAATTTTACAGAGGAAGGGGAGAAAGGAAAGAAAGGGGGAAGGGCTCAGGTGTCTTGGCCTAGGGCTCTGCAGTCCTGTTTGTCCTCTGATACTCTTCTAGTTCTGATTTCCTGTCCATGGCAAGTTGCAGCTCCTGCTTGATGATTTCGATCTGCTTCTCCAGCTCTGTAAGCTCCTGCATCACTGAGGTTCTTGCAGTATTGAGGGACTCTGCTTTCCCATTGGTGGTTAGGGAAGCTGGTGTCTCCCTCCTCACCTGTGGTAGAGGGATGTCTTGATGCTGACGAATTGTCACCTCATTCTGCCCTTCATCGGTGCAGATGTACTTTTTCCTGTGACAGTTGCCCAGGCTGGCTGTATTCCACACTGCATGTTGACTGTTCCCTACATGGCACCTGCACAGAAAGAGGAGAGTTAATACAACATCAAAGCTTGCTCTCCCCTGTGAGCCATTCTACTGGAAAAATAGGATGCTGCTGTTACATACAGCACATAAATATTCCTTTATCCTTCTTGCAAAGCACAAAACATAAATAGAAATGACCAAATTTTAGTGATTAAGTCATAATAGAGACTAGAACATGACTAAAATTCAGCTTCCCCCAAACTTTGTTTTTGTACAGTCCTCTCAACTCCAGCTCAGGAAAATGTGAGTCCTTCAAAGCTTCCTGAAAGCTTTTGTGGTTGCAATGCCCTAATTTTTTTAAAGCCTTAGTCCTTATCCCTCTGCTGCCTTGGCCATTTGCTCCCATGGAGGAGGAAAAGCACAGCCTAGAGTTGGTGTGGAGAAGGGAAGGGGAAGATGTGCCCTTTGGACTTGAAGTCTTATTGGGTAGCTGCTTGTGCTTTGGTGGATGGATATGACGGTGTGCTGTATCCAAGCCTTGCAGGTACACTCATAAGCTTCCTGACACAACACAGACTTTTTAGAGACTTTTGTCTTAGTTCCCAAATGGAAATTTCTCCCCTTTCTCAAGCACTTCAGTACTTTTCTGAAAAAATATTTCCATAATATTTTCATTCCAGATAATTTTTTCCCTCTTTTTGTTTTTGGAACTTGACTCTGTTGCCCTCCCAAACCAGGGCATTTCCCAGGGTTCCTTGTAAAACAGAGGAACAACCTGTGGCCTCCTCTCTTCAACTGAAACTTAAGGAAGCACAGTTTGCTGCTGTGAGAGAGTAGCTTAGCTTTCCTACCTGCTTTACCATTTGGATAGATCTGCATTCATTTTATACACTGAAGTTCAAACTCTGGAGTAGTTGCATTTAAAACTGCTCCATCCTAGAGGTCTTCTGTGGGTATCCTTGGACAAAATGCCTATTAGCATGAGCTACCAACTGGCAGGTTAAGGAAGGGGGTTAACGTTTCTGGATTGGGACTGCTGAAAACAGTTTGTTTCAAGAGGAGTCCAGAGCTGAGTGTAGATTACTTTTCTGACCTGCCTGCAGGGAAGGAAGTTGGAAAGTGGAAATTTCTTTAGAGGTCGTAGGCAGAGGTCTAGATAAAAAACCCACCACTGACAAGGGGCTGTGGTGCCTAAGGCTGCCCCTCTGCTATGTAGTTCTGCAGAGCCCATGGCCCCCAGCATCCTGGGCAGCCAGTGCAATCAGCTTGCCTTGGAGCAGACGTGTCTCAGAGAAGTTGTAACCCTTTGTTTTGATGAGAAGCCATATGAGGAGCAGCTGAGGTCACATGGTCTGTTCAGCCTGGAGAAAAGGAGACTGAGGGGAGACCACAGTGCAGTATACAACTTCCTCACGAAGGGCAGTGGAGGGGCAGCACTGATCTCTCTCTGAGGACGAGTGACAGGACCTGAGGGAATGGCCTGAAGCTGTACTGGGAGAGGTTTAGCTTAGATTTTAGAAAAAGGTTCTTCACCCAGAGGGTGGCTGAGCACTGGAACAAGCTCTCCAGGGAGCTTGCCACAGCACTAAGCCTGGGTTCAAGAAGAGTTTGGACAATGCTCTCAGGCACATGGTGTGATTCTCAGGACCAGGAGTTGGACTTCATGATCCTTGTGGGTCCCTTCCAACTCTGAATATTCTGTGCTTTTGTGATATTTGTCAGAGTTTTATAATTAATTCATAGTGTCTGATATGTTTTTCTTTCACAAATCAAATCACAGCTCTTTGATAAAATTTTAGTAGCTGACATATCTTCTGCTGGCGGTGATGCTTTTGTCTGGGGCTCTGGGCAGGTGATTTTAACAAAGGCCAGAGTCCACAGTTGACACTTAAGTTTCACCAAGTGAATGAAACCATTTACCATTTGGCTACTCTCAATGTTTTTGGAAAGTTACAACCCCAAAAACCCAATGGATTTTCTTTCATGAGGATAACAGCAGCAGCACAATGCGAACACTTTCCACGTCTTTTGTATCTTGGTGCTTTTAATAGTTCCTCGGTCCTTAGCAGGAATAAAAGAAAGTGCTTATAATTTGATTGATTTGAGAGCTCTGGGTTGTTCCTTGCCACACCAGTGTTCAGGACAAGCTGGACACCACATTACTAAGTGTCTTGAGTTAAAGGCATCCTAATTCTGTGAAAACAGCAGCTCATCATGAGAAGAGCAATATGTGGGTGGGTGTGAATGCTGTGTGAGCACAAGTTTCTGGACAGCAGCACATCTCCATGTTGAAAGAGTATTTGTGGAGATCTTTTCCTAAGCTGTTCTCTGTGGGGCTTGTGGTCATCTATCTCCTTGTCTTGCAAAATGTTTGCACTGCTGAATATCTGGCAAATAACTCAGCTGGTGCTTTTTCTGTCATCAGGGATACAGAGAGCCCTGTCCTCTGGAAGATTCTTCCTCTGGTTGAGTTAGTGCCTCAGGTTGTGGGAATGCTTCCAACCAGCAAGGAGGCTGCAGGACAAGGTTTTGCACCACCTGATACTGCTGTTCACAGATCAAAAGTGAGGAGTGTGCAAGGAGGTGCCATACTGTATGGTTTTGGGGGCTGTAAGATGAAGGAATGAACAGAGGAAATAAATTGCATGCACTTTTATATACTTGAGTGCATAAAGACAGTCTAAGAGCTTAAAGATGCTTCTTAAATTTGCTGACATTAGTGCAGGAATGAAAAATAAACACAACATACATTTACATCTGTGACATGACTGAAACTCAAACACCTAGAAACAGCCTGGAAGACTTTTTGTTTTCTATAGTCCTTGGCTGAACTTTTCTGTAGAAAAGCAATATTGCTGCTTGTGTCCTTATAAAGTGCGCGAAGAGTTTTGAGTTACTGAGCAAATGCATAGTTTAAACAGCATGCCTTCAGAAGATACAGGCTATGAAAACAAGGCAAGGTTGTTACCTACTTTTTTTCTCCAACAAGAGTTTCTGAAAGGACTGCATTTTCCTCTTCTCAGCTTCCTTATTACTCATTCTAACAAATTAAAAAGCTGAAATAGTTTCTAACACATTAGTGCCTGATCTCTCATTCACTGTAAAGCTATCTCATAGGGCCCTAATTGCCTGCCAGTGCTTTAGTAGGTGAGTAATTACCTACACACAAGGCCAGTGGACACAGAGCCTGCCTTCAAAATGCAAGTGCTTTAATTAGCTGTATACAGAATGGTGAAACAACAAAATTTCTAGGTTCAGTGCTTTCTGCCAGAAACAATTAATTCATTTCTGCCTCCCTTCCTTGTCGTTTCTACATTGTTTACTTTTTTTCTTGGATTCTATTATCTTTGGGGTGTCTTAGATCCATGACTAGATATCTAGACATGACATACATAATTTTGAAGCAATTTGTGTGATTTGCGTTTTATGGCATGCCAAACTTCCTACCTCTTTTCTGCTCGTTTTTTGTTAGCCTGACGTTTTTCCTCAATAAACGAACTGTTCAGAGCACGATGTAATCTCTAGAGGGAAAAGAAGAAAATAAATTAGTAAATGCAAGATTAAGAATAGCTCCACAAATAGGTAAACAATTTGGGCTTTGTGTGATGGATGAACTTAAGCATAAATTATTTTGAAAATTGAAGGATACAAGCATTATCTGTGCTTTATCATTGCAACAGATTTATTTTCCTATAGTTTCCCAAGGAAGGGCAATCTGCAAGGTTGATGAATAGTTTGCAAACAATCCTTGGTGTTAGAATTACTCATTAAAAAAGATGTATCATGACAAACTATATTGTGTTCTAAAAGATTTCATCTGCTGTGCTGCTTTATGCAACAGGAGTTCTTCCCTTTTATGTCTTTTGCTGTAAAGTAACATATTCCTTTAGAGCAAACACCTAGAGCCATTTTGTCCCATTAGTTTCTTTAGAATAATGAAGGAGGTTAACCAGCACTTCTGCTTGCAGCAAAAGTTTGGGAGCCTGCAACAGGGACACAAAATGTTCTGGTTAGCCATTTCAGGATAATACTGTTGGTTCTGGCACCCAAAAGAGCTGTAAGTTTACAAGTGGAAAGGGAAAGGTCCCTCTGTAAGCTTTGCAACTGTGAATACTTGAACTGTTTCCTCTGTGCTTCCCATTCCATCATTAGGGAAGCTTCTCAAAATTCCAGAACCTCCTGCCACACTTCAGATGCCAATCACCAGTACTCTTACAGCCTTTTATACTTTGTTCTTGTCCAGGCTTTCCTCATCATCCACATAACTTTCACAGGGTCACTACTGAACACGTACCTGACTTGTATGGAGCCAGTACTTCATCTTGGATTTCTTCTTGATTCGTGGCAGGACCAGTCTGTACATGATGTGTTCCCCAATGGTAGTGAGAATGGACAAACCGAACCCAATGCACAGCATTACAAAGAGCCCTGAAAAATGTTTGATGCCCATTTGCAGTGTCTGTGAATAAAATCAGAAGGGGAAGTTAATGCAGTAGGCTGTTAGTGTATTTTAACAGATGATTTGGTTTTCTCATTTGGAAATCTGGTGTAACTGAAAACACAGTGGTGAAATGATGCAGAATATTCTGGGTACAGTTTACAGCAAAGCCTTTCTGTGCTGTAGAAAGTTCAGTATTCAGTCAAAGCAAAGGACTTGTCATGGGAAGAGAATCAGCCAGACACCAGGGAATTTGTGCAATTTCCCTAATAAGATGAAGCGCTAAACATCTACAAAATCCAATAGTTGTGGTGTCTTTGCATTTGTAAAAGCAAATACTGCTTGACAGGATACAGTCAATGAACTGTAGAGTGAGTTTTCCATCAGCAAGGAGCTTAGTCTGACTGTATTTTCTGGGAACTGATCATTAACTTTCCCTTTTTGTGCTTTACCCTTGATGGAGGGTCATGGAGTAAATGTTGTGCAGTAAGTAGCACAAACACTGTACCTCTCTACTCCCTACATTAACAGGACTGAAATGGTGTTTGTTAGGAATCCTGACTGCAACTATACAAAACAGGAACACTCCCATCTTTTTTTGCTGGCCCACCCTTTTCATACCCTTTAATTATTTTGAGTGCCGTATTGGCATTAATCATGTTTGAACACCAAGAAACCATTTACAGCAGCGATCTGTACCACAAACACCTGCACAGCAATGGATAGGTCAGGTTTGCATGTTATGTATACTCTTACTACCTTTATTCTCATGTCTCCATAACTAAGTTATGAGTTCATCAGTAATTAAAATCTCTTGCTAGTAATTGCTGCCCACAGACTACTATGGAAGTACTTCCAAGAATGCAAATTCTATTTGTGTCTTCCTATTAAACAATGTTATTCTCCAAGTCAGAAAAATCAGGTTGGGTGAGGTTGTGTGTTAGAAGATGGTACCTGAGATGCTTTACCCCAGACAACTGACCTGTTGTGTTCCTTGTGTTCATTTGCTGGGTGGGTGGTAGAGGGGATTGTTTATTATTACAACTATCTGTGTAGTCCAGAAAGAGAAACTGACTTTAGGCCAAAGATAAATCACAGAATATTTGTGAAGTCTTGCTGTGAATTCATTTTAAGCCAAAGAGTTGGCAAGTCCACTGACTCTGTGGGCTTGTAAGTCCCTTTGTGTACTTTTGTTGGGTGATTGTGAGCACTATTTCTCGCATCTGGTTTGCATATTTGATTTCTGTTCTTTAAAACACAATGACATGAGATAGCATATCACAGGGCTTTTACAAGAACAGAGCTTCAGCAATGTAGGAGAGTGAGAACTTCTGCATGTGGCACTGGCAATGACCTCTTATTTTGGGGCTTTTCTGCCAAAATCCACCTGCTTGCCCCAAAGCACACCAAGCAGGACTTTTGGGAAGAGAATTTTTGTACGAGTGAATAAACACTTCAAGGCTGTTGAAGGCTATAATGGAGGTGTAAAGTAATTTCTACAGAAACTTAGTACAGCCTGGAAAGGAAAATGAAAAACCACGATCAAGTGGCTCAGGGGTAGAAGTGTGTCAGAGTCTTGGCATAAGGGTTTTCTAATGCTGACACTGTATCAGTTCAACCTCAAAGCAAAACTTCCCTCTCCACATCAGAATTTCTTATTGACAAGAGCCTGCTGTCCCCAGCTTTGTCCTTCCAGTTTGGAGAACAGGAGTGTGATACAAAAATTACAGGTGGTAATGGATTAAACCACTCAGAAAACAAAGTCTTTGACTGGAGGTGTGTGTTACCTGTTTAACTAGCAGTGAAGGCCAACTTTTAGCCCACGTAGCATAAAATCAGAATGAGGTCTCATGGCTGACCTGTTTCTCAGAGGTCTTTATACCTGAGACCTCAATATGACCCATTTTGGAATTCAGCACACATATAAGTAGCTGTAAGAAGCAACAAACCTGCTATCCACACAAGCTGAACAGACTAGTTCAACATGCTGCTGCCTATTCTCCAAGAAGCTCTAATGCAAATCACTTGCTTCCCAAAAAGGATGTTCAAGGACAAGTATGTAGCAACTCAGAGGTGCATAATTACAGTAAATATAAGAATAAGCAGAACAATAATTAAAAAGGAATATATTTGCTCAGTCATCTGGCAAACACACCTATCTATAGATGCTCCCAGGCTCCAGCTGTTTGGTGTCACACAGAGGAAGCCTCTGGTGGTTATTGCCATAAGCTCCCTCAGTGGCAGAGCCTGTGACTCAACTAGGTGAAGACCCTTCTGCCTAACTACCTGAGGAGTAATGCATAAGTCCACAAAGGCAGGAGAGATCCTGCTAGTGTTTGGTTGCTGTATGGTAGGGAGCATTTATTTTGCTCTGAGAATAGGAACTAGGTTTCTCTATAGCCATTTAAAATAATATAAAAAATCCCTATTGCAGTGGGGATTACTGCACATTGAGATGTCTCTTCCAGTCTGAGGTCAGTGTTTGATGCCATTTCAGCACTGCTGCAGAGAGAACATTTGGCCAGCTCCACATGAGAAATAACTCTGTTGTCTTCACTAAAGCCTCTCTGATTTATGCTGATGAGGGTCTGGCTCCCTGTCCTGTCAGCTCTGCAGAATTGTTTTCTACCTTCCCTGGAAACAGGTGAAAGAAATTCCAGCACTGTCATCTCAGATCCATTTTTCACTTGTAATGGATAGCTTCTGAAATTGTCCCAAACAAGACATCTCTTCCTAGGAAAGGCAATGCCAAAACAAAGCATCAGTAATATTTCATCCAGCAATAAAGATGATAATGCATTGAAAGAGCTGCCTGATCCAGGCTGCACAGGAGAGGAAAATTTTTGAGGCTAAATGAAGTGGGAAAACAAGGTAGGTGAGAAATAATTAGCACAGTGTGTCTTATGGTGTATGGAGTGATTTTTTTATAGCCATCAGCACATTTACATACCATTGTAAAACAGCTATTTATCACCTGTTCATAATTACTGTACACACAGGCGTGTTAAATCATAAAGGGAAACATCTAATAGAGGCACCTGTCATTTTCATTGCTTCATGGTCACAGAGCAGCAAACCCTACTACTTATTTTTTAGTTTGTTTATGCATTTTTAGGTGCATATATTCTGTATATGTACCTAAACAGCATATATGGTGGAAAGAGCAGTAATAAACTGGATTCTCTGCATCACTGCTTTCCCCTCTGCTGAAGTGGTAGGGGTCAGGGGAGTGTGTGTGTATGTGTGTGTCTCTGTGTGTTGGCAACAGAAAAAAACATGACTATTTTCTCTACTGCAATGTGTTAATTTCTTTTTCTTTTCTTTTTTTTTTTTTTTTAAGGAATAGAAGCCCTGAATGTAGTGTATAGTGTATTAGACCAGGATTAAAATACAGTCCTTGCTCCAACTTTGTAATCACAAATTCAGTCAGTGGCTCCCTGCATTTTAGGAGAAGGAACGCAATTATGCCCATGTGGTAGTTCTGAGGCAATAAGCAGCCATAGTCAATCCTGTGATGATTACAGCTAATGGGTGCTAAGCACTACAGTGGCAACAGCCTCTAAGTCGTTTCCCACTTGCAAATTGGGAAATTGGCAGTTTCTGGAAACCAACAAACACAAGAACAGAAGTGGAGTTATCTGCTTTTTTATATATATCCTTGGAGAGACTTTTCTGATTTATCAACCAATGTCTGCAATTGCTACCTAAACATTTCCTGCTGTCTCCACTGTAGTTATATGCTTTTTCTTTGAGCCCTGAATAGAAGCAAGAGGAAAAAAAACCCCACTCAGTGACTTCATAATTTGTTTTCACAGTAAAAACTCTTGGTTTGCTCCGTACTACAAAGACTGTAGATGCTTTACTCTCCCTGGTTGTAGTGAATGAACCATCAAATAGACTTGTGGTCCCCGTTTGACTAATTAGAAGCTGTAAAGATTTTTGGTTTATTTTCTGCAGGGTGGCAGCACAGCACAGACATTGGTGCTATGAACTGCTGACCCCAAACCCTAAAGAGGGGTATGATGTGTATTAGCAATGATGTTTTCTTTTGGGATTGCATTTTCCCCATAAGGGTTTAAACAGCTTTGCTCACATAAGAAAGTTAAATTTTGCAGCACCTCTATGAAAACAGAATTATTTCCAGCTTTAGTAGGAATAAATCGGTATGAAAGGCAGACTTCTAAACTCATTCATGCACCTCAGTAGGCTTGCAAAATCCTACCCAATGCTTAAGCTTCTATTTAGGTAATTAAGCAGTATTAAAACATATCCCTCTCTTGGTATTGTGGCATTTCTCATAGCTGCAGAGAGACTGTTATTTTTTTCTTAATTTTCATCCTTACGGCTTTCTGTGCTCACAAAGAAGTGGCAGCATCGAAATTATATATATTTTATCTCTTTAGGGAGATGATCCTTAGCAAAGACCAGTGACCACAGATTTAGGGTTTCAAGGGCTAAATTTCAAGTTACTGTAAGTCATTGTCTTGCATTAGCAAGACAAGTTCCTTTTCCTTCTTCTTGCGAGGACTTTTGCATACAACTGGAAAAATACTCCCTTTTTTAATAAATGTTTGTTCTTTCTTTCAACTCATCAATTTTCCAAACCCTGTCAGTTTCTCCTTGGATAGTCAACTTTATTTTATTTTTGCTTCGCTTCGACAGATGAATCTAAATCAGTTACTCATTTCCAGGAGACTCAAAACATGCGTCCCCTGACCCTTGTTGTCAGATCCAATACTCATCTAACCCTACTACAGAACCATTGTGCAAAGTATTTTTGTCCACAGTGCAAGTCCAGAAGTCACTGTTCCCACAACCCGATGTGCATTTACAATGCAACATCTGTCACTCTGTGACACCCATAACATTCCTAGGCCTCCAGTGGGCAAGGGCTAGCTCT